AATGGTCTCCGATATTCATTTGCTCATGCGACAAAGGCGGCGCCATTCTTGCACGCGTTCCGACAGCGGACGCGTGTTCGAGGTCACGTGAACAACGTCTGAGGACTGGGTTCGCGCCCTTACCACCGTCGCTCGCACCAGAGAACTGGGAGCGACCCATGGAGGGCTGCGCTCGAAAGGGCGAGTGTGAAACAGCTGGAAGAGGCTGATCCGCACCGCGGAGCGTGGAGTCCAAAGTTAAAGGACGAGTGGGAGCCGGGCCCGTGCACGGGGACGACAAAGTGCCAGCGGATGGAGCCGCGCACTGTGTCGCCGCGCGTGGTCGCGACAGCGCCATGACATCCCATCCCACCCTACGTTGTGGGGGAAGCGGAATGTGTTGGACCTGGCTGGGAGCTAGGGCCGGTGCGCAAATGGAGCACAGTTTTAGTAATGATGGTTTTTGACTTGTCAGGAGCGTCAAGCTCCACCATTTTGGAAACGCCAAAGGCAAGAAGGGTGATGTTGTTCCCTGCGGCGCTGGTCTGGAAGGCGCACTGGTGTGCGCAATCGGTGAGCCGCGTCAGCAGCTGGTCATGCTTAGAAGCGGGAACTGCTCGCGGGCCAGTGAGGTGGTTCTTGGCGCCAAACAGCGAGGCCAAGTCCGGCTTCAGTGGAGGAACAGATGGCCAGTCTTGGTCAGAGAAGCCCTCGACTTTGGTAATGGGCGCATATGTAGAAATTGGCGCCTTGAGCTTAGCAGGTTCGGAGAAGGCGGCGGACCAGCAGCTCATGGCAGAGGGGAAGCACGGCCAGATGGGGTCTGGACAGCGCGTCTGTGTTGCCCCGAAAATTCCCGCCAAATCATCTGCTTCAGGCAGAGCCGGTTCTGGCATGGCTAGCCCCTTGCAGACCGCAGCCGTGGAGATGATGGCAGGCAGTACCTGGAGCAGTGCTCTAACTGCTGGCAGGGAGGAATGAGAAGCCACTGGAGCAGAAGGACCCGCTGAGCGAGGCTCGTCGACCTCCGTGTTGTCCAGGAGGGAATAAGGGCTATGTCAGCCAGCCTCGTCGTACTCCTCACTGTCGATGACATCGTCCAGTCGGTTGAAGCCAGCCGGCTCCTGGCCAATGTTGAAGAACTGTAAGGCCTTGTCCAGCGAGTACGTGTCAGCCACCGGAAATTCCTCGGCGGCGGTGGGGGTGAAGTATTCGACCCGGCGGATCTTTTCAGCCACGAGCAGAGTGGCACAAAATGGGCACGAGGCCTGGGGGGTCAAGGCTAGGCCAGCGTGATGAGCCCCGAGACAGACCTCACACTTGGCGTGCAGGTTGTCGCTGGAGATGGAGCCCGTCTGGCAGGCCGGGCAGGTCCTGGCGTCGCTGGTCATGGTAGGAGAATGCTTCTTGGATAATTGCTCTTTAAAGGAAGCGCTTAAGCTTGGCTTGAAGGGATAACGGAGGCGAACAGTGGAGTCGCTCCACTTATATACCCACAGGGGTGCCCACCATTGGTGGGTGTACATTTAAGCTCTTCATGATTGGCTGATGCTGAGATCATCCTTCCAATAGCAGCTAGCTTAAGGGCTAAGACTAGACGAAATAGAACGGGTCCTTACGCCCAACTTTAATCAGCTGCAGTTCAAAGGAAGCAAAGTGACCAGAGGTTGTAGAGCTACATGGAAGATGGTCTCTAAAACAACAGCTAGGCCTCCACCACGACCATAACCCCGGGGCTGGCTAAGAAAAGATTAACCACTCAGGCAGAGTTCAGTCAGAGCAGAATAATCAGATGTTTGCTGCCAAACTTCAGTCAGAAACAGAAAATCCAGGTTTTTAGAGAGAATTAGATCATTGAGAAGAGACGACTTATTGTTTTAACTGAGCAGGTGTTTAATAGAGCCATACTGAGTGAGGAGGAATCAGAAACTACAGAAACAGCTGGAGTTAGCGGACGTAAATTAGCGGGGTTCGATCCACGGTGTTTATAAAAACCACTTATGGAGGGAACAGGAGGAGAAACCACTGAGGAATGAGGATAAACTGACCTTAAAAAACTTGGACGGATGAACCGCGCCACAACGCGGCCTGGCGGGAATGCGGAAGTGGCGCTCAGGTCACCAAACAAAGGACAAGAAGCTAGAAGATCACGCCGATGTTTACTAGATAAACCACGCTTTACGAGAAGTCTTATTCTCACCTGGATTCCTGCTCGTTTACCTCTTTCCTCCGACGTTTTCCCGAGACTGGACAAACATATCTGGAGGTGCGCAGCTCGGGACCGTCGTTTGGCTCCGGGCCAGTGCGCCACTCAGGTAAGCAAACAGGATGGTACGTCCTCAGTGTGTCTTGGGCGATCGTGAACAAACGGAATGACAAAAGAGTCTGGCGATCATAGGAGATGGTAGCAGGGACACTACTGAAGAGGATCGCAGACAGGAGCAAGGTGGAAAAGAGGAGGTTAGTAGAGAAAAGTTTGAAAAAGTGGCCGGTGACTGCGGCTAAGCCAAGCACAGGCGCCATCTTGTTGTTGACCAGAAGCGGAAATGGTTGGGACACCATTTGATTAGAATTTCATCACTTTCATTTTTTATGTGGCTGAAATGAGATTTAAATCCATTTCTACACATACCACAATTTATCAGGTGTTTATAGACAGTAAACTAACTCAGCGATAGTTCCAGCCACAGTTTTGTGTCTTCTGCAAGCACATTTCCACAGTGGCATGAAAATGGCAAGGAAACAAACCCAGTTAGACTAACGTGTGTGCAGAGGAATGAATGTGGACATTAGATGGATGGCAGAGACCCAGAGCGGAATGTTATGCTGCCAGAATCTAAATAACATCTGGAGCTGGCAGAGCCCCAGCAAGCCCTGCTGTCAGGAAAATTAATTATGAAGAGTGTGTGTAAGCTGGAGCATTATTGTGTTAAACTTTCATTTAGAAATCAATAAAGAAAACATGTATTTAACTGAGCCCACACTCGTTTGCCCCGGATCATCTAAGTGCTTTAGATATGGGCCTATAGCGTGACGTTAATCATGTTAGATTGGATTCAAAAGAAAGGCGTTTAATTGGTTTTATCTGCATAGATGTCAGAAAATATGTCTCATAAAATACATTAAAATAAATATTTTATATAGCAGTAGAATAACCTCTTAGTGATGCATCATCACGAGTCACAAATAAAAAAAAACACCACCACAGTGGATCTCTCATCTGTCCATCCTCCTGGTTCTGGATCAGGCTTTTACACACGGCCTTTGTCGCCCCCCAGTGGACAAACCCCGACCTACACATTCCTTCACCTGCAGTGTGTTGAAAAGAGAGAGAATGTGGTAGATTTGTGATGCCGCTGTCCACAAATAGCCTCTACAGAAAAATAGATTCTTACAGAGCAACGTGCGTCAATGTCCAGTTCCGGTTCGGTGACGCATCTAACAGCTTTTCTGCTGTGACAGTTCTGATCATTGTATCTCACAGATTCCTTTAGTTTGGAAACGACATAGATTTTATGCCACTCAAAGCATCATGGTAAGTAAATGGAAGGAGAGGCTGCGGTCAGTTTCCCTCAAAACTACAATTATAGAACTAAATTCTGCAATAGATAAAATATAAATCACATAATGACACAAAGATGTCAGAAAGATAGCACAAATACATGCATAGTCGTTTTAATTTTCTGCAAAAAAGCTAACAGCAATAAATACTGACCAAAAGACATTCAGCTATAGCACAGATAGATGGATTTTATGAATGAAAGGCTATTTGTGTGGAGGCTGGTTGTTTCAGCGACAAAAAAAACTAATGAGGAGGTTTACTTCTAAATGGAATGCAGCCACCAACAACTACAAATTTTCCCTACTCTATTAGTTCTATACATCTGTGTGACGGACCAACGGATGGACGGATGGATGGATGGATGGACGGATGGATGGAAGGACAGATGGATGTTAGACAGACAGATAGACAGATGATAGATAGATAGATAGATAGATAGATAGATAGATAGATAGATAGATAGATAGATAGATAGATAGATAGATAGATAGATAGATAGATAGATAGATAGATAGATAGATAGATAGATAGATAGATAGATAGATAGATAGATAGATAGATAGATAGATAGATAGATAGATAGATAGATAGATAGATAGATAGATAGATAGATAGATAGATAGATAGATAGATAGTGTTTTGGCCCACCCATCAAACTCATGCAGTATTCACCCTGCTTCCCTCAGGCAGGGGATTGAGCAGCTTCCTTGTGAATATATGTCCCTTTAGCTGTCCTCTGATTTTTTTTACTATATTAACATCACAGATGTTTATTATAGGTTTTTTTTTATTTATTTTAAACGTCATAATCCAATGTTTCTGATGTAAAATGATCTCTTTACTGATTATCATACTGGTATCGAAGTTTTGACCATTATTGGTTATTTTGTTCCTTAGAGACTTGACTGCTGGTAAACGCCCTATTTTGGTGCTAGTACGAAAGAGTGTGACATGATGTGATTGGTGTGTGTGTGTGTGTGTGTGTGTGTGTGTGTGTGTGTGTGTGTGTGTGTGTGTGTGTGTGTGTGTGTGTGTGTGTGTGTGTGTGTGTGTGTGTGTGTGTGTGTGTGTGTGTGTGTGAGGCGGGAGAGGGGGCACACACAAGCTGTCTCTGCTGTGACTGTGCATCACTTCAGACGCTCAGAGAGAATTTAAAAACCTGCGCTCCTCCGCCTGGTGTCACCCAGCGTTGGTGTGCAAATTTATTTTTATTCATTTATTTATTATTTTTATTCCTCTCCTTGCCGAGCCCGTTGTTCCCACACAGCATGGTGCTCGGACTCACAGACTCAGCAGCGTCTCCGTTCAACTCTGCCGGACTCCTTAATTAGACAGCAGCAGCAGCGCCAACACCTGTTCCCACCTTCACACACAAGGTAAGAGATTTCTCTGGCGCAATTTGCGCCCGTCAAAGACAAGTGCGCGAGCTTGCCAAGATTAGAAAAAAAAAGGGGAAAAAAAAGGAGGACGGGAAACTTGGGAGCGCCTGAGAGTTGGCACATGCGGAATGCCTGCAGCTCTCCAGCTTTCTGATGTTCTCCTTTCTCCTCATTTTGAAGGTCCGCATCGCGTTTAAGTTCAAAGCGCGTCGGCGTTTGTTGTTACACGTAGTTTCCGGTCAGCAGGGAACGTCTTGGTAAACAATGCAGCTTAGTAATTCATGTCTATTCACTCAAGCCACTCTGCAACTCAACCAATTCATTCATCTGTGACCACCTCCCTCCCAAAATTACACAAATCCAGTTTTTGGAGATTTTTTTTTTCTCTTTTCAAATGGATTTTAATCAATTCAGGTTGGATTTGAAAGAAAAAAGGTAGAAATAAAAATATATTTTTTGCTAATCAGCTTTTTTCTCATAATCTAATGAGCTATGTTGCATTATTATTATTTTACGTAAAATCTATAACAGATTGTTTTCTCCAGGGTTTTTCCCTTCTAATATCAACTCATCCACTTGTTTTTACAGACTGCACCTTTCTGAGAGACAGGACAGCATTCAATTATCCACTCAGACTCAGAAATTTGAGTATTTTTTCTCTCGTCTAGGAGGGCAAAGTGAGTGTAATCTCATACCAGTGGATTGTTACATAACTTTTAAAAACTGAAGTGCCATCCTGGCTGCGTAGGAGTGGCTGTGATGTTCCCACTTCCTTGCTGTTGTTTTGTTCGTTAAATTAGTAAGGCACATTACTGTAAGTGGCATTTTTCTGACTTGTGCTGAATTTCGTTTTTTTTTGTGTGTGTGTGTGTGTGTTTCATTTATATGCAGATGAGGCTGTGATCTGAATCTCCCTGCTTTGATTTTTAAAACAGTTTTTGGTGGAACATAAAGTCTGCGACTGTTGAGTGTGGCATGGTAAATTTGAAGGTGGCATGACCAAATGTGCCTATATTTGTGTGTGTGTGTTGGGGGGGGGGGGGGGGGGGGGGGGCTGCATCATGCCCTGTGTTGTGTAGGAGGAGTGAGATCACAGACTCGCCCAATCATGACGCTCAGGAGCTGTTGGACAGCGTTCAGTCCTCAGCTGAGCAGTCTGTCCGCTGTGCTGGAAGTGCTGCGCAGACAGACATGTTACAGTAACTTGACTCATGTAGACATGGCAGGCTTCCCCATTGCTGCTTCAGGGATGGCGGTGTCATCCAAAACCTAAAAAAGTTTCATCCCTAAGGCCTGCTTTTACATTTTTATCAGTCTGGATCAGGTGGTAAAATCGCTAGAAAATCAGAAGCCAAGTTTTGGGCATCACATATTTATAAATGTACCTCAGTAATGTTAGATTGTCTCACTCTCGGAAACAGACTCTTTTGGTCATCACCAACTGGAGATGCAATTTTTCTCTACTCAAGTTTATGAAGGGTTACAAAATTCATAATTTCTCATTCCAGTGAACCACGATTGCTGTGCCTTTGGAGATGATAGATTACCAGTTACAGGTGAATACAGCAGGAGGAGGAAGGCGGTAACTCCAAAAATGGTTGAGTAAAATAAGGAAGCATAACTGAGCAAGAAACAGGCAAAAAGCAAGTTTTCACAAACATCTGGGTAATTTCACTAGAATTTGTGGGTTTCCAAGTCAGAGGTCCAGCCAAAAAAAACATTTTTCGGGCCGTTTTCAGGAACCAATATAGTAGCTTGATGGGTACTCAGAATGACCTGGTAGGTTTGCTGAGTGGGACTTCTGGTCAACTCTTGCTAAACGGTTGTAACTCGGTAGGAAATGACATCAGAAGATGTCATGCCATTTGTAAAATTAGACAAGTTAGTGGTGAAGCAGAGTAGAAGGAAAGGAAAATAAGCAACATTAGTGTTGCTTTAAAATCACCATTTCTAAACTCTCAGCTCCAAAAAACGTGGCGTCATTTCCAACCACGTCGTAATTCATGGAGCTTTGTTGCCTCACAGAACACAGTAAAAAAAACTGTGCCACTTTTTACATCACACAGCTGCTCTTCCCATCCTCCGAATGGATCAAAGTACAGTGTATTTTTAAAGAAAACCACTTTTAATGTTACTAATGTCCGTGAAGGCCTTCTGGTGCTGATCAGTGATGTCAATCACTGCCGAAGCAGTCGCAGTATGATGAGATCTTAGCAAAATCCTGAAAGGGCTTGGGGGACTAAGCCATCCAATTTCCCCCTTTTCAAAAATGTCATCCAAAGTGGAACTATGTTGGAAACACGGCTTTAAAAATCAGGCAGAAAAAACGGAACATGGAGGTTATGAGGAAAGATAATGTCGATTTTCGACTGGCTTGAATGGCTTTAAAGATAACCTTCTTACGTATTCCTGTCGTGTGGTGTCTTAAGAGCACTCAGACCTGCTCAGAAGGACCTGCTCCAATCATGAATCTGAGATTTTGGACATGCTGGATTGTCTTGCTCAGATTTTGAGCCTGCTGCTTGTTGAATGTTACTTGTAAGTCGCTTTGGACAAAAGCGTCTGCTAAATACGTAAGCATAAACATAAACTTGTAGACAATCAGAAAGCAAGGTAACAGAAACACACTGGGCACTCTTCTTCCTCTATGTTTACTATAAAGGCATGTTTGACCTCAAGAGGCTTTGGGAGATTTCTCATCAGTCCACAAAAATAAACAATCAATGATGAACAAGTCTGATTCTAGACCTGCAGAAGGAGAATAAAAGAAAAACACCTCACAACAATGCAACAGGAGCAAACAATCACTGTGTCAACCTGATGAGGAAACATAAAATCAACATTGTTTTTCTGAACAACCAAACTATAATAAATCACAGTGCATTAAGTGCCAGCCACAGCCTTAAGACATGTGTTGAACGTGCCCAAGTCCATACTTATCAGAGCACCATGTGAGCACCTGTGTACGTACCCGCGCTTGTATATGCAAGGTTTCTCTTTAGGAGTGTCCAATAGAGAGTGTGAGGGACCACAGATCTGCCCCCCAAACATGTGTAGGAGTTGGAAGGAGCTCCAAGTCTTAGAGATCCAGGAGCTGCCCCAGAGCAGAGGGATCCCCAGGGAGAATGCAACCAGAAAAGCTCCTGCCCCCCTCAAGAGGCGCAGAGGATTGCCCCGGGGGGTCACAACCAGCAGCCGGCAGAGTCCCGGGAGAAATCAGCGGCAAGCCCACAGGCCCGCCCACAGCCTCCCACCCCCAGGTCGGCTGAGCCCGGAACCCAGCGACCCGGGACCCAGAGGCAAACAGACCTGCTGGGTCCCAACAGAGCCCAGGCACTCAGATCCCACCAGGCAGCCACCGAGATTAATCAGGCAGATGCCAAAAATCTTAAACCCCCTGACCCGGGAGCCGCGAACACTCAGGCAGACCAAGGCACCACACTCCACACCAAGTGTGGCAGGGGGAGGGGAGGCAAACATGTGTAGCAGCAAAAGAAGTCCCAGGAGAGGGGAGGAGTCAAAGGCCCCACCTGACATATACAGTCATACACAAACACAGTCACACACTCCCTCCCTCATGCTCTCACATACACATACAACCTACACATACAACCTAAGACATAAAAAAATACACGCCAGACACCCACTCATGCTCTCCATACACACCTTATTCACTCTGGTCCTGGTACTGCTGCACATGGGGTACAGCCATCATCGTTTCCCAGAGTTCAACCCTTCCTGCTGGGGTGCTGATGAGCAGGCTCCCCCCACCCAACGCAGAGCTAACCGACCCACCACCCAGACCCAAGTCAGACGGCCAGATCCCCCTCCTTGCCTCCAGCCCCAGGAAGCCAAGTGACAACAGAGGAGTGCTAAAACCCCTAGTCTCACTCCCCCTGCTCCAATACAGTGTTGGTGCATGTTGATGAGGTGTATTTGTGGATGTGGTGAGCGGGCAGCGCAGGCATTGTCTGGCCTATGCCAGCTGATGCCACCGCACCAACCCGCTTCCCCCCACAGTCCTCTGTGTCTAAGTGCGGTTTAAAATTGGAAGTGGGCACCCACACTTGGGATGAGGCTGAAAGAGCCCCTTGCCAAATGCTGTTGAATGTGCTCACTCCCAAGGCCCTACGTGTGTGTTTGCGTGGAATGTCGTTGGTGGAAGTATTTAATGTGCAAATAAAATTGGGGGGCAGGTTGCCACAGGAATGCGGAAATGGGGTCCATACCCGCACACCCTGACTTGTCCACCCCCCGAGGTCCTATGTGCAAGTTTGTATGATGATGTGAGGGAGCAGGAGGAGAAAAATGTGTGTGGGGATAGGGTGGAATGGCTGGTTGGCCCAGGGAGCCAGCTCCCCCACTGGCCCCAATAGGCACCGCCGCTGCCAAAATGCCACCCAGGGCATGGAGACCCCAGCCCATCTTGCCAGGGCCCAAAGCAGCAGCATCGCAGAGCTCCACGGAGTCCGAGGGAACCAACGCAAACCCATCCCAGCAGAATATCTACTCCCATCCCTGCATTTGCACAGCTTCCAGAATATATAAAACATAGGACATCCAGGTAAAGTTGTTCCCGCCTTCTTCCCGGCAGCATACATGTCAGGACCCGACCCCCAAGGCCCCGCCCAGATCCCCACATGGGGCCGGCCACCCCCACGAGCCCCCAGGGCCCCAGGCCCCCACCCAGACCCACTCAGGGGCAATGCAGCCGGCAGGCAGCAACCCATGGCCGCCGCCAAGACCCCCAAGGGGCCCTACTCACTTATGCTTTTATTTTTAAGATTCTTATATCTCACTCACCACTTGATTTATACAGCGTGAAAAGTCCATTTATTCATGTGGAAGAAAACCTATTTGGATTTAATCTACCCATCTAAAAATGTTCATTTTCAGATTCAGATTCAGATTTCAGATTTATTGGCCAAGTAAAATTACATTTACAAGGAATTTGTCTTCGGTAGATGTTCATGTTCATTACAAAACCAAGAAAAAACACACCCTTCTTGAAACTTTCAGTGTTTAAATTCATAAAATGACATTTTAATGATGAAGGTGAATAAAAAACCTCAGATTGCTGAGAAAATGTGTAACAAAGGGACCATGAAAACACAATTTTCTTAAAAACACATAAAAAGCTATAAAGCAAGCAAAGAAAAAGTCTATCCAATATCTATAATCATATCAAGCATGGAGGTGCAGTTTACTTTTTACCCCGTAAATCAATCAGTAAGATGTCTTTAATATTTGGTCAGTCAGCTTGTCTCGTCCAAAGCCACACATGGCCACTATAACACCCCTCCCCCACTGTCAGACACTTTTGGCAGAGTCGTTGCTTATAGACTCATCTTCACACTCCTTTTAGCCAAGATTGTTGGAATATAGACTTTGTGACTTAAAGCTGAAATTTGTTTAATTTTATCTTAAAAAACAGAAGAGTTAAATAAAGATCAAATAAATAAAACTAAGTCCATGAATTAGTTCCATAGTGTGACCATAGCTTATTACCATAATACCTTTTATTTAATTTGATTCATAAGAGGATGCATGAATAACTGAATCCACAGAGAGCATTGTCTCAATGACTGTATGAGGAGATGGGACTCCACAGGCTCCCTGCAACGGAGTACACTAATAATGCAGGCTTTTTGTCCTCTTGTGGTCACTCTAACACAAT